CATATGTTTGAATATCTGGGCCCCAGTTGGTCATTGGTAGCTTAGAGCTCACATCTTGAGCTCTGAGCTGCTGCTGCTCCAGCCATCTACTGCCATGCCTCTGCTCCACCATCAAAGACTCTAACCCCCTGGAACCCTAGGCACAATTAAACTCTTTAAGTTGCCTTGATTGTAGTGTTTTATCACAGGAATAGGAAATAACCAGTATACCTGTTCTGTTGAGGCAAGAAGGCAAGGTTACTGAAATGAGCATGATATTGGTTAAAAACAAAAAAAGCCAAAAAAACAAGGTAACATGTTGAATGAAGGTTGGAAGAATGGAAGGTTGGGAGCAGGAGCCTTGGATAGGGTGTTTTGAGTTAAAGACCTGAAGCATAAAATTATGCTTCAAAGAAAAGTCCAAAGAAAAGAGGAACTGGGAGAGCAACCAGCTAAAGGTAGTTGTGGGGCAAGACAGGTTCTGAGGGTCAAGAGTCCTTGTGTGACTTCCTAAGAAGTCCATTTCTTTTCACCACAGACGAAGTAAAGGTAGGCCCAAAAGACAGTTTCATCCGAGTCCAGCTTGGTGAACTGATCAGTATTGGGCACTGGAAAGCTGGCAGCATGTGACACCTCAATGGGGTGACATTGCTAGAGTCCCCTTTGTCAGTCAACCTTCTACCACCTATGTAGTCTGGGCACCCTTGATGTACAGCCCCTGACTAGGACAGGATTATATACAACTGGAGGCAGAGAGTATAGAGGTCGGGGTGGAGGCCACAGAGCCAAAGAAGATCATGAAGAGACAGCCTAATCCTGGAAGGCTAGACATGGGATATACTCTCTGCTGCTCGAGTTATATACACAGGAACATCCTTGATTACCTAGAGTCAGTTGTTTAAGAAACAAGAAAAGGTCTTCAGAAGACTTGAACAGGTTAAAAAGCTTGATATGTCGAGTATTTGACCTAGGAATTGGCTTAAGTAGAGAAATAAGTTGTTCAAAAGCAAACATTCCAATTGCTCAGCATTGAGCTGTAAGATAGGCACAGTGATGGGCAAGGTGAATTTTATACGGCAGGTTTTCAAATGCCCATTAGGTGGCAGAAAAACCTCTAAATCAAGGGTGAGCTAGAAGTCTTCCCACCAACCTCAGCCTTGCTAAAGCTGTGTATGTCTAGTGAATGAATGCAGAGCACTGTTGTTACAAAGAACAGACCAGTATTTTCTTCAGAGTCAACAGCTATCATCAGTCTGTAATATGCAGAGAACAAGCTATCTGGAGCAGGCTGTATGTGTGGGTTGGCTTCATTTAGAAAGAGATGTTTTTGGGTGGTCTTAAGGGGAATGAGTTCACTACAACCAGACTGTTAAGCATTACTTAAACCTTTCCAATTAAAGCTTTTTAGTTTGCAATGAAACTGAAGGGAGCAGTGTTGGCTACTCATGCCTACTCAAGCTGCAGGGAAAGGTTTCCCCAGCTGCAGACTCCCTTTGTAAAATCTGTACACTTTGTAAACTTTGTAAACCCTCAAGGCCAGAAAGTGGCCAGGCCCTTGCCTGAGGAGCTCCCACAGACAAGCCCTTCGTCCAGACCTCTCTGTCATAATAGAGCTTCTAGCCTCTGTAACTGTGACAAAGGCCATCCAGCCCCTCAATAGGGCCCCTCTCCAGATTATTCTAATTTGAAGTGAAAAGTCTGAAGAAAAAGCCACCAAGCTCAGGACTTGAAATCCGACCAGTCCTCACCCTGGAAATCTCTGCCTTAGAAAGCTCTATTGCCTAAGAAATCCTATGTAAAGGTTGCATCTGCTTAATTCCTGGCTGTCCTCTCCCAGGACCAGTGGCAGCCAACCCTGGATTTGTCCCTCCATACCCTGGACCCTCCCAATAAATCTTTTATGAGATTTACTTCCTCATGTGACTCTTAAGAAGTGGAATGAGGCTTCAGCTCCTCAGCTTCTCAGCTCAGCTGGGGAAACCCAGCTTCCACTGTGATACCTTCTCCCCTCAGAGCTGTGTGGTTCCTGGGCTCCGTCCCAGGACAGCCTTCTATCCAAGCAGGAAGGCCAATGGGCAGGACTCAGAAGTAAAAGGTAAGCAACCTTCTTATAAAATAATGCACAGAACATTCTAGAACTGGCCTTATTCCCACAAATCTTTGATTTTGAAAGTTACTTCTTTTCCCTCTCATGACACACAGGGCCTCACGTTTGCCTGCAAGTTGGGATCACCTGGGCAGCTCCACAGACTACAGGTGCCTGGGTCCCTCTTGCCAGAGGTTGGGATCTACTAAGTGGCCTGTAGAGCATCTATTGGAACTTTTCTCAAGACCCCGGACAATTCTAATATAAAGTGTAGTTTGGAAGCCACCAGGTTTGGTCAATGCTGACTATGTAAATATAGCAAACCTTCCCACAACTCAAATATGTCCCACCCTGAAAGACAAACACAAGAACTGTTGGCCTTCCTGTCCAGATGGGAAGGTGTCCTGAGACGTGGGAGCCCAAGAACCACACAGCTCTGAGAGGAAGCCTCCTCAGCAGAAGCACTACAGCCCCCAGGTATCCCAGGTATCCCCAGCGGGGAAGAGGAGCTCAGGGGCTTCAGCCTCACTCCTTCATTGCTTCTTGGCTTCTTCCATGAGAGTCACAACAGACAGAAAATCTCGTAAAAGAGATCTATTAGGAGGGTCCAGGGTGAAAGGACGAGTCCGGGAGTGGCAGCCTCTGCTCTTGGGAGAAGACAGCAGAGAACTGAGCAGACACAGCCTTCATATTGGATTTCTTAGAGGATGGAGCTTTCTAGGGCAGCGATTTCCAGGGTGCGGATTGGTGGAGTTTCAAGCCCTGAGCTTGAGGGAGCTCAGGGGTTGGTGGGGTTTCCTGTTCAGGGATTGGTAGCTTTCTGTTCAGACTTTTCAGCTCAAATTAACATAATCTTGGAAGGGTCCTATTAAGGGACTGAAGATGACCCTTGTGACAGTTACAGAGGCTGGAAGCTCTGTTATGACAGGTCTGGGGGAAGGGCCTGGCTGCTGGAGCTTCTTGGGTTGGGGTGGGAAGTGGGCACTTTCTGGCCTTGAGTATTGTCTGTTCTCATATTTGAAGACTATGTCTTTTTTTTCCCATCATGGAAAACTGATAAGCTGTTGCCTCCAGCGCTCCCTGTTCAGGGCTTCCAAAACTCTCATTAGACATTACTTGTGCTTTCTTACCTGTGTTTTCTAGCTCATAACTTATGTTTTATGTAAAACGTGTATACATTTTATTTCAGACTCTGAGAGCTTCTGTGTATTTCTTCACCAATTTAAACTTATATCTGAGCGTTCCTGTGTGGATTGTGTACTTTATAGAATGTCTATCTAGTCCCTTTTCAGGCTGACCTGTTCTGTGGGTGTTATAGTTTTCTTTGTCTTTTTGAACAGCAGACACAGACATACTAATTTTAAAGTTACCATTTGTATTCATCAGGGCTCTCTAGAGTAACAGGACTTTAGGATGAAGATAGATGATAGATAGATAGATAGATAGATAGATAGATAGATAGATAGATAGGTAGATAAATGGATGGATACATAGATAGGGGATTTATTGGCTTGATTTATGGGCTGCAGGCTAGCTAATCCCACAATAGCTGTCTGTGAATGGAAGGGCCAGGGACCCCACAGTTACTTAGTCCATGAGGCTGGATGTCACAACTGGTCTTCAGTATGTGACAGAAACCTGAAGAAGCAGGCTCCAATGCCAGTGAAGGAATGGACTTGCTAGCAAGGAAAGTGCAAGCAGGCAAACAGAGTTTCTGTGTGTCTGGAACAAAAAGGAAAATTATCCAAATCAGCTAAGTCTCCTATATTTGCTGATATAATCTTAAAATATATTAAATCTTAAAATATATTTAAAAAATAAGTGTGCTTACAGCATTGGTGCCTGCTAGATGCACTACTAAGGTAATGATCAATATTTAATAGTAGCTAGTTTTTATTAAAGACTATTTTCTAAGAATTGTTCTACCTTATGTCCTCACACTGACTATATAAGCTTGGTACTGTATCGTACTATATTATTATTATTAAATAGATGAGCATATCATGGCATGGATATAGTAAGTAATAAGACTTTAAACATCGGTATCCTGGCATCAAAGCTTTCCAGTTTTGTTGAGATGTTATTTAGTTATAATAAAATTACAGGCAGCAAGATGGCTCAGTGTGCTTGTCGCCAAACCTGACTACCCAAGTTCCACCTCTAGGACCTACGACATGGAAGGACAGCACCAGTTCCTAAAGTTCTCTGACTTCCACATTCAATACCATGATGTAGCTGCCAACTGCACCCCAACCCCAAGCCCCCACAAAGCAATGTTTAAGAAATTACGTAATAACATTAACTTCCATGTCACATTGATGAATTTTCATAAATGTATGCAGTCAGGTAACTCTTGCTAGATTATGACGTGTATAGGAACATTTCCATATAAGAAGTCCTCTCTGGTCTCTGTTGTTATTCTTTCTCTTCCCTAATCTTCACTCCTGGCAAACGCTGAACTATTCCTAAAACACCACATAAATAGAATCGCACCGTGCAATGAGTGGCTTCTTCCACTTAACATAATGCTCTAGACCGTCATACGGTACTATAAGTGTTAATTGTTTGTCACGTTGAGTTATGGAGTAGCATTTCATCAACTGGATAAACCACCTTTTGTTTGTCTCACTAGATGATGTTTTGACTTGCTTTTGAGAGATACACATATTCACTGCATATGTTAGAAAGACTTTTTAAAATTACTTTTGGATAGCTATCAAAAGAAGGAATTGTAAGAGTAAGTGGTAAATGTGTGGTTAATGTTTAAGGAAACCACCACAGGGTTTTCTGAGGTGTTTGGGGAGACTTAATTTGCCTCACTGATTGAGAGGTTTCAGTCAGAGGTCACCTGGGCCTTTGGTGGCACAGCACACCATGGTGGGGACATTTGGCAGGGAATCCTGGTCATTCACAGTCAGTAGGAAGCAAAGAAGAGAGGGGAAGGCTGTCCCTTCCCACGTGCACCCTGAATGACCCTATCACCACTCTAGAGGCAGTGGGGCCTGGGAAGATGGAGCCACTAAAGGAGGTGGGCTAAAGTCTCCCGCCATAACCAACTTATTCAGAGCATCAATTTATACTCTGAGGGTTAAGAAGAGTCATATAAGTGTACATTCAAAAGGATAGGCTGTGCACGGTGGACAAGCCCACATGGCATAGAGACAACAACACCCAGGTGTAATGAATAATCTGAAGTAAGTTCACTCTTATCCGTTACACCTTGGAGGAGTACGAAAACATTGCAAGAACAATTCCAGAGGTCACAAGACTTATTTTCTTGGAGGTTTTGTTTTGTTTTTTTAAAGCACTCAAAATTGTCCTTGCACAACTCCATTCTTGGACCATGTTCCAATATGACCTTGGTTCCTTCCACCAGACCCCTCCTCCTAAAAGTCCTACCATTTTGTAGTAGCACCAAAGGCTGAGGCCCACACTTGAAATACTTGGGCCTTTAGGGAATATTCTAGATCTAAACTATAGCACCTTCTCACTCGGCATACATGAGTTCTCCAGTTGTTTCATGCACTACCCAACAGCTGGAATTGTTAGTCATATTAAATCTTACCCACGCTGGTGGGCATATTATCACATCTTATCAGGCTTCAATGTGCAATTAAATGATTAATGACATGAGCATCTTTGTGTGTGTGTGTTTGCTATCTATGACTCATCTCTGGTAGTTTGCTAAAGTCTTTTGGCCATGTGAGAGTGATCTTTTACCTATTGAATTATAGTAACTCTACATATTCTGAGCATTACTTCTTTACTGAAACAGGCTTTGCAAGTATTTTCTTCGGTCTGTGCACAGTCTGTGCTTGTAAACGCTCCCTGTATTGACTCTCAGTACAAACTGGAATGATTTTGATGCTTTGATGGTCAATGGCTCCCTCCTACTGGCAGTTGTGGGGGCTACAGTGATGAAAACATCAGGCAAGCATGCTGAAACATTTTTGTCCAAACATCCCATAACCACCTTTTTACTAATTAATCTCTTCTATTCTGATAGAGACTAAACATTCCTCTCAGATGTGAAGAATTGAGATTGCTGATATCATTACCTCTGAACTCCATCTTTACCTTGATTGAAAACAACTAGAAACCTCCAGCTCTGTAAAAACACTGCCCTGGGCAACTTGTCTTAAGGCATCTTGTTTTTAAGTAACTGGGGAATCCCTTGTGAAGGAAGACAATTTCCAGCAGTCGCAATCAGAAATGAGTGGATGTTACAAAAATTCTACTCCTAAAAGGATCATCCACTTTGCTGATGGAGACACCATGGAAGAATATAGCACTGAGGAAGAAGAAGAAAGAGAGGATCAGAACTCAACATATGACATTGTAAGCTCATTGTATCACTCTCAATGGGAGGGTGGGGATAAATGACAGATTGAGCTAGATAAATTATATAGAACATATGGTTTTATATTAAGCTTTTGGTCTTCATGCTTGCTCTTTAGATCACATCTAGCTGGCAGATAGGTACTGGCTAGTTAGTTTTCTCACTGATAAGAGAGAAAATTAAACATTATAATGCATTTTGAAATCTATGTAAGATTCTCCAGTCGCGACTCCTGATACTATTTTTTTAAAATGTTATCACAGTTATTTATTTGGTACGGTTGAGAGTACACATGTCGTGGCGTCCATGGTGTGCCAGAAGACATCCTGTGGGAGTTAGTTCTTTCTCCCACCGTGTGGGGCCTGGGCGCTGACCTCGGTTTGCCAGGCCTGGTGGCGCATGCCTCTGCCCACTCATTAATGATCCTAAATTGATTTCTCTCTATTTTTCAGTCTAAAATTTCATGGGAATCGTACCTCTGGTTTTGGGCAGGACGAGTCACTCGCAATTCAATTTCTAGTAGGTACCGCTAAGGTTTGAGTTTTCCTTTTTTTCTTTCTGTACTATGTATTAATTGATTCCCCGAGTTTCACCAAGACAGATGAAACTTCCAGCTGTTCCGTGCACTTCCTAGGATTCAGAAATGCCAACCTGATCACTTCTAAGTCTGTGTTATCTGTCTCAAAGACATGGAGCCTCACCCCTCCAGGCAGATCCATCTATCTGCCTTCTGCTTTTCACTCTACAATGTATTATCTATGAAAAGGATGGGATTGTCCCTCCCATGAAACTTGAACACCCTGGCCTTCCACCATGGTGGAAAACATGCATTCTTTGAAGGCTCAAGCCATCTGACTGGGTATCTCCATTACTTTCAGTTTTAGTGTGACTGAAAGACTCACTTCCTGATTGTTGTCATGGAACCCAAGCCAATCCGACTCTCACACTCTCTTCAGGTCTACTCTGTAAGTCAGTTTCCTGCGCCACCCCATCCTCAGACCCCATACTGTTCTTACGATGGCAGCTGTGAAAAGGAACTGCAGTTCTAGGCACATTTGCTGATCCACCCTCTTCACTGAAGATGGAACTGCGTGAGAACAGAGATGGTTAGCACATCTTTTACTTATGGTGGCCCAAATTTTATTCTTTGAAAGTTCCTGCCATCATTTTAGTTACTACTCTCAGAGCTGTGCAAAACCAATCCACACTCTTCTTTCATGGGTCAAAGATTCAAACAGTGGAAGCCAAGAGTCAATCCTTCTTGAGTTTATTCTTATCTCCACAAACCTCCAGGGTTAAAGAAAAGCACATACGGCACAGTTTGAAGCTCCCTCATCACGGTTGCTCACTATAAACATGAGTTGTCTTGGCCCTGCCCACAGATGAAATAAATGGCCTGCATGATTTCTTATAGCGCCTAGAATCTGACTTTGTTTTACTTTCATTTTTTTTTCTTCTGAACTCAATTGGCAAATGTCTTATGACTCATTCCTTCCATTGTGCCTGCTTGTGAATGTGATCGTGAGGAAAAAAAAATTACTTTTTAGTTGAGTATTCTGAGAAAATACAAAATGTGGCTTTTATAAACTCATCTCTACTCATCCATTAAAAAAGCATTACTGACTTCCTACTGCATGCCCTGCACTGAGCCAGACGCTCCAACACAAAGACAAATGGCGATGTTTTCATGGGATTCAATTTCCAATGAACAATATAGACCAGCAAACGCGCCCAGAACTGTAATTTTCAGGTTAGGAACAACCCAGGTACTAGAGACAGGGAGATGGGAAAACTGACGTAAAGAGAAGACCCCAAGAGAGCCATGAAGATCTGACTAGCTGAGACAAGCTTGGGGATCACAACAGTGATCAGGGAGTCTAGGCTATCCTAAAAGCATGGGGCGATTCGGTCAGTTGGACTGAAGCAGTGGTGGGGGACAACATACGTCTTCCACACTGGTGGAGTGACAGTCCCATAGAAGTCCCACTGGGGGTCCAAATCCAACCCTGATCATAACACACTGACATGAAAAAAAGTAGCTTCCTATGCTTTAGTTAGAAAAGGTTGATGTGGTCTGGAAGGAAGGAGCCATTAGAACTTAGGTTTCCTGCCGGAGCTCCAGGTCAAGTAAAAGATACAAAAGTCTGTGTGATGAGAACATGGAGGAACCATCTGCACTGGTTTTCAGGCAGGGCTTTGACTTGGGATGGTAACATTTTTCTGGGCATGGTGGTGCAGTGTAAAATGAGCTTTGTTTATTCGCCTGTTTCAATTGTCGTCTGGGAGGTTTACTGCCTCCTTTTGCTAACTTGGGCCTAGTCCTGGAAGCTTCTAGCCTCTGTACAATCTAACCCAGGCCTAGAATGTTTTCAGCCTCTGAGGCTTACTGCTTAATAGCACAACCTATCTTGTTCTTTCTGAGCTCAAAGCTGGCTGGTTCAACTCACCTGCTCTGGCTCAAACTCCTTTCCCAGCTGACTTATTCAATCTGGCTTCTCTCTTGGCCTATGAATTGTTCTGCTTGGCACCAAATAGTAGCAATCTCTTCTAATCTACTGGCTTCTTCTCATTCTCTGGCTTGTTCCATCTTTACCTGTGTTCTTTCTCTGTAACCTGTCTTTCTATTACTGTCCTAGTAAAACTGCCTCCTCTCTCTCTCTCTCTCTCTCTCTCTCTCTCTCTCTCTCTGCATTGCCCCTTAAGTAGCTTCCCTTTCCTCTCTCTCTTCGTGAGAGTTGGGCATATCCAATTCTGTCAAATCTTTCTCTGATTCATCACCTTTTCTGCTACTCAATTAGACATTACTTTAAAATATGGGTGCTTCCTTCTACAAACTAACTGTATCTTTATTATTTGGGATTAAAGGCAAGTACCACCATGCCTGGACCTAAGCTTTTCTTTACCTGAAACTTGCTTTATATCAGGCTAGCCTTGAACTAAGATCTGCTTGCATTTGTTTCCTGGATTAAAGCCATGTTGTTATTCCAGTTAGATCGCCTGTGCGATCTAGAAGGTCTTTGGATGTTATCTCTGTTCTGAATTAAAATTCCTCACAGTGCATGCCGTGGGTCCTGGCTATTCTAGAGGCTCATCGTGGTATAATGGGCCATTTGCAAACAAGTTTAGACTCTTAGCATCTTGGCTAGTCATTGAATTCAGCTCCCCGAGTGCTTGTTCTTCCTTCCAGCTTGTAAATTCCTTGGTGAAAGATTTGCTGCCTTCTTTGGTCTTACTGAACCCAAGCGCCAGGATGTGCTAAATGAGTATCGCAGAGCACACAGTGAGGTAGGTGAAGTCCTGTTGGGGGCGCCAGGGGCTCTGAGACAAGACAGGTAGTTTGCCAGTTACATTTCTGCTTGCTCTGACTGAGCACTGGCAGAAACAGATCAAGGAAGGTGGGCTCATTTAGATTCACAGGCTGATAGACTCATGATAGCAGGGAAGGCTTGGTGGCCTGCAGCCCATACCTGTGGGAGTGTGAGGCTGTTTACATCTAGGTGAATCAGGAAATAGAGAAGGAACAGGAAGCTGGCTGATTACCCAGCATCCCGATTCCTTCTTCTAGCTAGGCTTTTCATCCCTACGTCCCCAAATATCCACCATCTCCTGAAACAGCACTGCCTGCTGGAGACGCAGAATTCAGATACATGAGCCTCTGGGAGATACCCAGATGGCAACCGTATGGAGGAATGTTTGTTACCTGGAGATCAAGCCCCCGATTGCACTAAGCCCCCACGGGCAGGCTGGCTCGCGTCCCCATGCCTCCGTTCTGCAGCAGCCCTTAGTGTCTCCTCATCCATGAAGCCAGGATTTCATAATTGAGCAGCCAAAACGTGGACTGTGAAGCTCTAAGGTGAAGCTACTTACACAGGTGTCTCTACGAGTCGGAGTTCAGAAATACTTGGTTGTTCTATGAAACTTTTCTCTTTTCCTCCAACCAGGACGGTGACAAGGGAAGTGAAGGGCGCGGATCAAAGGCCCAGGATGCTGAGGTTTCTAATGAAAAGCGTCACCTGAGAGCTGGCGGCCAACAGTATGGAGCCATTGCTCCCAGAGGAGGCCCGGCGGCAGAGTCCAGCTCATAATGGACAGCAGAGGCTCCCTCTGCATCCTAAGCTTTGTCTATTGGTTACCATGGCAACAGCACAATAGGCAACACTTCCTAATTTGATCTGGTTCTAAGCCCATGAATGAATGTTCAAGAATTCAAGGGTTAGATGTAACCAGAAAAGTGATTTTAGATACTTTCACAATATAACAATTTAATTTTAAGTCCCAGTGATAAAATTCTGTCAGCCCTGACTTCGCCCAACAGCAGTGTCTTATGGAACTTTGGGTCTGGAGGTTTTGACTGACATTTCTTATGATGGTTCTAGGGCCCAGTTTAAAAAAATAAAACAGACAGCAATCTAAATTTCATATATAATTTCCCCTTAAACATATGTATTTCCATACATACAGCTATCTGAATTGGTTGGGGCTTATTTTACAGTTGGCGACTGCACCATTCCATTACCTCTTTAAAGATCATTATCAGAGTCTTGGAGAGTTCCATTAGAAAAGCAATAATTGAGAGCTAGAAGTGTGTGTCTTCACTTCCTTCCTGTTGCTGTGATAAAGTCCTTTGACAAAGGCAGCGTAGGGGTGAAGACATTTATTTCAGCGCACAGCTCCAGGGCACAGTCCATTACAGCTGGGAGGTCCCAAGCAGCAGGAGCCTGAGGGAACTAACTGGTCACATGACGTGCTCAGAGAGAGCAGGGCAATGGAGGCCTGCGTGCCAGTGCTCCGCCAGCCCTTTCCTTTCCATTAGTCCAGGAACCAGCCCATGGAAACGGTAGCAACCACCTTCAAGATGGGTCTTCTCCCCTTGTTAGGCAGGTTAAAAGCATCTCCCACAGACACGCCCACTGGGCACCCTAATCTACAATTCCTCATGGAGACTCCCTTCCACGGGTGATTCTTGATTGTGTCAGGCTAATGGTTAAAACTAGGCACAGCGTTTTAAACAGACTTTTTAAAGGATTAATTTACGTATATGGGGACTTTGTGTGCACATACATCGGGCACCAGAAGATAGCGTCATACAGTCTTGAGCTGCCATGTGGGTGCTGGGAATTGAACTCAGGACCCTCGGAAGAGCACTAAGTGCTCTTAACCACTGAGCCATCTCGCCAGCTCCCTTAAACAGATTTTTAAAGTTCATTGTCAATGAATTTTTCAAACATTGGAAAGAAAGGTTGGGGATGTTAAACAGGAAAACGCTTGCCTAGGACAGGCCTTGAGTTTAATTTTTGACACTAAAAAAACAAACAAACAAACAAACAAATACACAAACAAACAAAAAATCAAACCCCAAATCCTAAAACATCAGACATGGAAATCCTAGTACTCCTAAGTTTAATTTTACCTCTTCAATTAGCTATGTGATTTGAGGTGTCTAGATATATGATCTATGGTCCCCTGCTTTGGAAAATACACGTGGCATCTATGTCCTTGTGGACTATTATTAAACAACATGAGATAATGTATGTGAAAACACCTTGAAACTATAAACATTCATTGTTCACACTTAACTAATGGCTACTATAGACAGTCGCCTTGTCCATAGTCACTCCAACATCCATGCCTACTGGACATGGCATCCCGGCCAGATGTAGCCACATGAATGACACACCACTCTTACATGGAGCAAGGGAACCATGCAGCAGAACCTGGGAAACTTGCAGGTTCATGAGCCACACGGACACAATGTGATTAAAATAAGATCCCCGAGAGAAGCAGGAAGCTGGAGTTCATTTGGTATGAAGTCAAGGACAGAGTGGGAGTGGAAGGTGTAGTTAGTTGGATATGCCAGCATAAGATCAGTCACAAACAGATGGTTCCAAAGTCTTAGTTCCTGAAGCAGTCAGTGACTTCTTTTTCACAGGGATTCCATTGTCAGTGCTGCTGCCTACCCTGACAGTCAGTCTGTTCCCGCTGCTTTTGCTTCTCCCCCTAAAGCACATCATCATATAGTTATAATTAGCTGTAGGTGGGAGGTGACCCTTAAAGAGCCTAGAAAGGGAATCACTTTATTTTGGTAGCACAGATGGGGGTGATGGGGTCAGTGAATTAATATGATCCTTTCTTGTTTCACCTTTGCTGTCTCTATGACCCCTATGTAACTTACTTAACTTCAATGTTTCCATGTCTAAAACAGTTTTGAACTAGCTTATATAACAATAAGGTATTTCACAGGCTCTAAGGTCAGATAAGTCTCAACAGTGTCTAGAACAAGCTGAGAAGAAACTGCCAAAGCAGGTGCTCCCCACCCCCACCCCCAGCTGTTCTGCCCTGGAGACACAAGAACACTCTAACATTTTTCTAACTCCTCTGATCAGTGACTGGTGTTCTGGACCCCTGCCCCAACTCCAAGCATAGAGGAAAATAGCCCCTGTGTCAATCCCTAATTCAGTTCCTGTGGCCAAGGAGGTAGAGACATATCATAGTAACATAGTTGTGGAGCCTTTTTCTCAAAGAAGGTGATTCTCAGGAAAAGGGACTAAAATGATCTCAGCAGATAACACTGTGAATAGTTCTTGTGACAATCAAGGGAAACCTCTCAGCCATAATTAGGCACTAAAGTCACTGTCGATGATAATGTTTAATATTTGTAATGTCTTGAGTTGACTGGGCCCAGGTTAAAGACCATCTGTGATGTAGTTTCAGGGAAGTCAGCCCTTGAATGCAGTTCAGGGGAGAGGGAGGGAGAGGGGCATCATAGAATTCCATAAAAGGCCTGAGGGGAATAATGTGTCCAGGATGATGATTTTTTTTTCTCCTTTTTGCTGCCTTCCTGCTTGAGCTTAGAACCTTATTTCTTCTTCTGTTTCTATGCTCTTGGCCTGGGTCTTGGTTCACTCACTGCTCATCCCAGGCCACTCTCAGCCCTAGTCCTGGGGCTTAGGTCACTGCTCACCCCACCCCCACCCCATTCTCAGGCTTTTGGACTCAGAGTGATTTGTTTTGCCACCAAATTTCTTGAATTCTCAGGATGTAGGTGGCAAACTGTGGGGTTTCTTGGCTTCTGTGATCAGGTGAGGCTTTCCCCCTTAATCTATTTAATTCCCCATAATACCTACCTACCATATATCCATCCCATAGGTTCCATTTAGCTGGAGAAACTGATTACTAGACAGTTGAGTGAGGATCATCCTTTCGTTGTTTGGATGGTTTGCCCTCACTACGCAGTCTTAGTTCTTTATCTGGTGTGCTCTGTTAGTTCAGTTTCAAGGTGAAGTAACTGAGTGTTTGTGGTATAGCTCAAGGGGCTACATCTCCCACATCTCACAGTTAAGCACCAGTCACAACAGCCTCAGGTGTCAGGTCAAAGCAAAAATCCATGCTTGGTTTATTCACTCTTCTTTCAGAACAAGCTCTGGTGGTTTGTTGTGTTTTTTGTTGCTGTTGTTTTGTTTTGTTTTTCTTTTCTAATAAAACTATTCACTTACCAAATCAACACTTGTTGATGGTTCTAGGAAACTAGGCTTTGGTGGTTTGAATGAGAATAGTCCTTATAAAACTATATGTTTGAATAGAATACTTGGTCCCTAGTTGGTAGAACTGTTTGGGAAGGCTTAGGCGGTGTGGCGGAGAAGTGTTGGAGGAGAAGTGTCACTGGGGGCAGGTTTTGAGGTTTAAAAGGCCCACTCCATTCCCAATACGCTCTCCCTCCCCTCCTTCTCCCTCTTCTTCCGTCTGTCCCTCTGTGCCTCCCTCCCTTTCCCTCTCCTTCCTTCTGTCCCTCCCTCCCTCTCCCTCTCCTTCTCTCTGTCCCCCTGTCCTTTCCTCTCTTTCCATCTCCTTCCCTCTCTCCCTTTCTCCCTCCTCTTCCTCTCTCACTGCCTCTAGGTTGTGTCTCAGGATATACACTCTCAACTATTGCTGCTGCCATGCCTCCGTTCTGCTGTCATGAACTTAAACCCTCTGAAACTGTAAGCCAATTAAACACATTTTTTCGTAAGTTATCTTGATTATGGTGTTTTATTGTAGCAGTAGAAAGGTAACTGAGACATAAACCAGAATATGATGCATGGAGAAGCAAATTCTGTCCAGCAAACATTACATGCACCACCTAGCTTTCTTTTCTATGGGAAGAGCGGGGAGTGCTTTCCCTGGTGGTCAGCGAGCAGTTGCAAATCAGGTGAACCGTGAGACTGATATGACTTCTCTCCCTCTCTCCCCAAAGCCAGCTGCTATGTTGTGAGGACGCTCAGGCAGTACAGTGGGCTCGGTGTCAAAACCACAACCTCAGGGTGACAGTTCAGGGATGGGGCCCCAGAAATGATTAGGCCTTTACAGTGGGTCCCTCTTGGAGGAGATGTGTGCCTGTACAAGAGGGCAGAGTTAGCCAGTTATGTGTCTACCGTGTGGATTTTTTCAGATACTGACCATGCTGATACCGAGATATTTCTGGCTCCCAGAACTGTGAGGAGTAAATTTCTGGTGTTTATAAGTCTCCTGTATTAATCTAAATTTAAATGACTTTCTGATTATTGGTATTTTAGATTATTTATCCACATATTTTATTGTGTGTAACTTAGGTAAATTGAGGTTAATTTGCTAATGATTGCGATGCCTAAACCTTAACCTTCAGAGTAATGATTCAGAAGTGTAAGATGATCAGAGAAGCTCTTTGATGGATGCACACAGGCATCTATCCTTTATCACCAACATAAATCATTTAAGTGCCTTTCCCTGAATGAGCAATCCTGCCAAGAAGAGCTGAGCCTTTTCATCTTTGCAGGTTGCTTGGGTGACGATGCCCTTCAATTATCCCCATAAAATTTTCTATCCCCTGCCAAATTGCGCCACTTCCAACCGTAAGATATAATTACTTTTATACCAGCGGCAGAGCGAAGCCAGGCATTTTTAACCATTAACCATTTTTGTCCCCATGCACCTTACAGGGTTTTGTCACGAGCTAGGAAACTTAGCAGGCACCTTTTTCAGCAAGAGATGGAGAAGCCGTGAAGCTCTTTGGGGAAACAACTTGTCTTTTACCTTGAGAATGAGAGGGGAAGAGGGCTGTCCTGTTAGATCTTGATTATACACGTGGCCAGTATTTTCATTAGAAAAAAATTACTTGAAAGGAAATGGATATCATTTTTCTAGAACAGGTATTTTTATCTGTTTTCTTCAAGGCTGCATTCAGGCTAGTAATGGAATCAAAATTTTATTCAGAATTGGGTAAATTTCTGTAGAAAATGTTGTCTCATATTGAATATTCATGATAGTTTTTTGTTACAGTGAAGGAAACTTATTAGTCTCACCATCTGAATAAGATGTCATCTTCTCATAGGCGACTTGGCTCCTAAGAATATATTGATATTGGCTAAACCTTCGTCTTCA